TATTATCATAAATATATTGATTGATCTGAAAACAATTTCAAAAAGGCATACAAGTTCATCATTCTTCAAATGTTTCCCTGTTACTGAAAAATAAGCAAAACTCTGTTACAGAGAAGGGTCAAATGTGTGTTCAAATTGGTATGACCTGCAGATGAGATAATCACATGCTTGCACATCAAGTTAAGGAGAAAACCAATCCCAAGACAACTAATTTGCAGTGGCATAACCCAGAAACCTTAAACTTAGATGTGAGTCTTCCATGGAAGACGTGTACATGTGTTGCCTACCTTTTACAACTATTACGTAATTTTTTGCATATGTACATGTATGACCAGTGTTATGTGAAAATTTCAAAATATTCGAAAAACAGAAAGTTGGTATTGCAGACACCTGAAAAGGGCAGACACATTGCAAGTCATCATGTTAAAGCCATGTACCAAATATCCAAGTATTCCCTAAAGAAGAATCTTGGAAAACTGTAACGGAAATATCCATTATGCAGCACCTAAAAAACTACAAAGTCGATCGATAAACAGGAAGTAGATAAGCAACGAACCTGAAAAGGGGCTGCAAGTGACTATGTCAAAGTCATGTACCAAATATCTAATTATCCATCCAGTAGAAGCTGAGAAATTGGAAATGGAAAAGTGTGACGTCATCGACCATGACTAAAGTGATCCCTATATGCATGATATGTCGGTTCACATAAAATGTGCAGGCCACACTAATATGTTGTTGATGACGAGTTATTAGGTTAAAAAATAATGATAATATATAAGTATAGAAGTAGAAAAGTAAAAAAAAAATCTATTTCCAATAAAGCACAAAACCCTCAAAAGTTCTTGTTACTAAATGTCAATAGTTTTAGTGATCTCTTTTTTCAAAATAGATCTTCTGTTTTCCTCATCTGCAGCACGGTAGTCATTGCTGTCTGATTTTCTGTCTTGTTGAGCAAGTCTACAAAAATAACTTCCAATCTGTTGGCCTGTTAAAAATTCGTCCTTAGAAAATCCAAGGTGACCAGACCTCATTTCTTCAGAAGCTGTGTTGGCATCAACCTTACTGCCAGTTCTTTTGCCAATTTGAAATTTCTCAATCATAAAGTCTTTCTGCTTTTGATTGAAAACTGTTTTCTTCTTTTTTGATTTCAAAGCCCATCCACAACACCTATTGACCAAACTGTCATCTTCAAAAACATTTTCAGCAGTCATATCTGGGCAACACAAAGGAGCATTTGATAATTTCTTAGCATATATGATTTTGATTTTGTCAGACAATGCTTCTTTTTCTAACTGATGTTCACATTGTCCTTGCAAGATGTGCTGATCTAGTGTTTCTTTATTTTTAAATTCACGGATGCAGTTCTCCAAAGGGCATATCAAATTTTGTTTGTGTTTTGTTGTTGCTGGTACTGGATCTACAGAAAATAAATAAAAGTTACTAATATATACATATATATCATAGAATAAAATAGCAGCCTCATCATAATACATGTATCTACTTAATAAACGAACTTGTATAATCACATGTGGGAAATGAATTCCTACAGAGACAATCAATATTGACGTCAATGAAAAAGAAAATGTAGTTTCCATTTCATAACTGATGAAAATGGTTCATTAGTCAAATTACTTTTTATACGATTTGATGAATCAAAATGGGGTTTAGAGTATCTATACTATTAAACGAGAAGACCTCATTTTGTGTGTCGCTTCTCTTCCTTCCACAAAAAATTAATCTTCATTCCCCTGTGTCCTATAGGTACCATGCATAGTCGCATTTGTCATCCATGATTATGATTATTCACTTTGGGTTATTTTGGGAGAAAAACGAAATAAAAAGGCATCCGGATACTGTTTCAGTCATCCGACAGACTTTTAAGTCATAAACAATACTTCCGTTTAGAAATGTTTAAAAATAGCACATAATATTCAAAAATACTTGGGACAGGACAATTATTTTCACATTTTTCTGTATACTATGATCATACATATATTATAAAAAAAAATGTATTTGCTATTTACTATCAATTCCAAGTTTACTATCCACGGTGGTTGCTGATATATTATATAAAGAGTCTCTAAATGATACTACATCAGTGACTGCCGTGGATAGTAGATTAGGAATTGATAGTAAATCTGAGTAGTAAATAGCAAATTAATTTTTATTTTTAGTATATGTATCATGTGTATGTTCATAGTAGAGAGAAAAACAGAAAACAAGCAATAACGGACTTTGGAAAAAGAGGGGAAGGTCTAAAACAAAATCATGTCCTGTCAACACGGCACCCGCAGGCTAAGACTTTTGATACCTTTCCTGAAATAAGCCAGTCATAAAATATTTTACGAAAATTCATACTATCAACAGTTTACATACTTTCAACCACGCACTAAATGCCTGCGATTTCGCGGGTGTGTTCTAGTATATATAATAACAATATGTTAAAATATACTTTTTCACTGTTTGTGCTGTATTTAGACCCCTCAACCAAGAAATTTGTTTTGCATGCATGATGTATAAAAAATTGCGTTTTTTATCCAACACTATACATTTATTTCCCGTGCCCGAGGGAGATATGAAGATTTGTTCACCCAAGAATATTCATATTTCACGAGTGCTCTGCCCGAGGGAAATATGATTTTTCGAGGGTGAACAAATCTTCATATCTCCCGAGGCAAAGGGAAATGAATGTTTTATTCCACTGCCTATGCTTTGTTTACTATCAATACATTAACTATTATTTTGCATACATTTTTTTTCTTATCCGCTTGTTTTTGTAAGTCAAACTAAACACGACATACCCATTGATAAACAGTAAGGATCAAAATTTAATTATAAGTTTTTTTGTTTTATCGTCTGAAATAAATTTGAACATGTTCATGAGTTTAGCTATCGCTATTTTCAGAAGAATACAAAGTTCAAAACGTTATGTACATTAACCGCGCGTAACGTCGCACAAAGTAATCCCGACATTTCAGAGGGGAATATGATCCTCAGAATGGAATATGAAGATTTGTTCAATGACACGTGGGATAGTCTCAACCAATCAAATATTGATTAAACTATCAATATGTTTAAACAGTGGAATAAAATCATATGTATGACTGTTGTTTTGAATTTAGACTTGCATATCATAACAATATATACTACCAAATATCAAAGCTTACCTTCATAGGAATCTGATATTGCTATGTCAGTCCAATCACTGATGACCTTTAACTGCACAGCATTCTTAGATGGCTTGAGGGAATCCCACTGCACCAATTTCCCTGTAAACATTGTCATTGGAGAAATAAAATAAGTGTAAGAAAGAAAAAATTGTATCAGAAAAAAAAATTGAATCATAATTTCCTGTCAATATGCACATCTACATAGCATGTCCTTATTATCAGTTTCATGAAATTCTGTTGTGTGGTTTGAGAGGAGTTGCGATGACAAAAGGTTGCAGTAGTATATTGGGCAAATAAGTTCAAAGGGGCGCAACTCCTGGAAAAAAAATTGAATCGTAATTTCCTGTCGATATGCACATCTACGTAGTATGTCCTTATTATCTGAAATGGTTTCATAAAATTCTGTTGTGTGGTTTGAGAGGAGTTGCGATGACAAACTGTTGCAGTAGTACATTAAAGTAAATAAGTTCAAAGGGGCGTAACTCCTAGAAAAAAATTGAATCGCAATTTCCTGTCGATATGCACAACTACATAGTATGTCTTTATTATCTAAAAAGGTTTCGTGAAATTCTGTTGGGTGGTTTGAGAGGAGTTGCGATGACAAGAAACAGGACTGACGGACTGACGGACTGACGGATGGACTGACGGACGGACTGACGGACGGACGGGTCAAAAACATTATACCCTCCGCAACCCGTTGCATGAGGTATAATGAAGTATTTAGGGTAAAAACCATCATTTCTTAATTTTGAGCGGAAGACGTAAAATTTCCGGGAACCTGTATGTTTCTTTATTGACTCTTTATGTTTTTCTGCATCCAGATCTAAAACAGTGTCAACTACTCTTACTCTGTATGTTTTTTGTCCAAATTTCTCTAGGGCCTGAAAAAATAACAGAATAACTTTTATGTTCAAGAAAAAACTATTTCATATAATCATGTGATAATAATTTTACTCATTGAAATAGGCATAATTCAGGTCCCAAACACAAAAAATCCATCAAAAAGTCAATCATTTTACATTGAGGTAATGTTTAGTTTTATAGAATTATCCAACATTGGGTACCCCAATATTAATATCTTGGTTTTATGCTCACATGACAAATGTTTGATGGCACATTAATTTACCCTTGTCTGTCTGTTTTGTTTTAGATCATCAGGATATAGATACATGGTTTGTCCGACTATCTTTTCCTTCATTGTGTATCCACTTTTTAAATAATGCTTTGAATAATACCTTTTTCATATCAAGTGCAGAAGTGACGTCTCTTCCTTCATTAATAAATCTTTTTATGACAAATTTGGCATGGGCGGCTCATCTATCACAAGGACCTGCAAAAAAGCATAATGAATTTATTTCTACCTGCATTAATAAATATGACATATTATGAGCTTCAAATCTAGGTCACAGTGATCTAATTTCATAAGAATGCAACCGTACTACTGCAAAATGTTTCTGTGTATAAGTTACATTATCCAACTAATTATGAGTGCTGAGATTGTGATATGAACTAGAATGTAAATAATATGATAATAAAGCACATATTACAAGTTAATTATCTCCCTTTATTATTTTTTTCTTTCATGCACACCCCATGTAGTGTTCTTCAACTGTGCAAAGTTTCATCAATACCCCACTCATCCACATATAAATTTCATGGTTTTTTTCCCCTCCCGATATATCCCAAGCAAATTCAGGGTATAATAAAACTTCTTTATTCTCATCTACATATTATGAACCTCCTTTTGGTAAAGCTTCATTAAATACAATTGAACAGCTTACGAGGAATCGCCCAAACTGTTTGCAAGGGTGTAGGGTTTTATTATCATAATTATGTTATGTTACCTTTCCCATTCTGGGCTTCACTAAAGTTATACGATGCCAGTGCTTTCCCAATGTCATGTCTTAGAGTTGACAATGTTAATGAACTCTTGTAACAACCTGCGTTATCACTAAATATGTGGACATTCTGTAGATTTGGAAGGATTGTCTTCAAGTCCTGAACCACATCTGTCATTACCGCGGTAGTAACTGCAGCATCTTGAGATGATTGTGAGCTGAAGATGTGAAGGTGGGTTAAAGTTTGCATTCTATGTTGTAGTTTTATCAAGGAGACAGACACATGCCAGTTGATGCCCCGTTTGGCAAACCAGTCTAACTGTCCCTCTCGATAGTGTCTTGGCAAAAACTTCATTGCCCAGTCTGATGTGATAATGACATCATTTATTTCCATGTTGTCAGCTATATCCTTCCTGGCAAATTCTTGGTTCTTTGATCTAACAATGTGTTTTTGGAGGTTTTTGATATCATTTACAGCCTTCTCTACCTATAAAGTAAAAAAAAATGTTACTTTTTAAAAATTTATGAATACAGGAGAAGTGTTACATCAAAAGTATTGTTATAACAATGTCATACTATGTTTAAATCACAGAGATTAGTCTGGCTTGTTACAGAGGAAGATATGAAGTTGTCGTAGGTTTAACCAAATATTGAGGCCCACCATGGTTACAAAAGACAAAATATCTATATAAAACTTGAGGTTATCATAAACTTAAGTTAAGAAAAGAATGTGTCTGAAACACACAGATGACCCTCATGGACTAACTTGAAAATAAACATACATGGAATCTGGCTGATCTGTGTATTAAGGATAAAAGCATTGTAAACAAAATGGAGTGTTTTGCATGTGGATTAAAAAGTTTGTTGTGAAGTCTGTTAGGAATATAAATGTCATTTATATTAGTCAAAGACCACTTGTGGTTAGATATAGAAAACAAATTCCATATTGTAATGCAACTAGAAAAATGGCCTGTTTGAATGGGAGCAAACTTGAGTTATCGTACAACAACGAAAACTGTGATTGATAGACAAACTAATTACTATATGGGGTGTCCATAACCAAGTGTCGCACGGGCCCGTATAATAACATTATGATAATTACCTTAAACATAAGAGCATCTTTATTTTCAATCTGCTTTTTCTCAGCATTTTCAAGAACTTTCTGTAATGTTTCATCTAAGTCTATACAGCTTTGACAATGCTGGCTATGAATGTGCTGACAATGAAGCTGAAATTCAATTCCTGGAACACTCAGTGCAAATCCCAAACAATGCTGTATAACATTGGTTTGCCTGGCTAAATGTATCTAAAATACAAAATGGATAATATTTAAAAAGTGTAAAAATAGTATAAAATAGAATTTTCAGATGCCATAACTCCAAACACTAATCCTGTATTATACATGCAATTTAATATTACATCAAACTTGATTGATCCACAAAGTAAAATTCATGGCACCAATTACAGGATTGACAACATGAGATGTAATGTGCATGCTCAGAGGACATAATATAGGTTTAGAAAAAAGGATTACAAACTAATTTGCAAACATCAAATCATCTAATTGATGCCATTACATTTAAAAACAATTCTTATATGATTTACATATTAGGGCATACGTTGATATGATTGGTCGAGAGGACTTCAATAGTTGTTCTTGAAGTTGTTTATTTTTCGATAGACGACATTGACCGAACTGCCTTTCGTAACCAATGTAAACAAGATGGCGGCGATAATAATACAATCCGGCTCGACGTTAACAAAATTTATTTTTACTTCGCGTTATAAACACAAAACATTCATTTGAATGATTATAACAATTTTTGCAGTTTATTTATTATCAGATAGGAAATTTCATGGAGTACATTTTTTTTGCGTTTACCAACAAATATATTCATGCGCCAGACCAATTCAATGACACAAATATACAATTTGCGTGTGGTAGAGGTTACGAGTGTGGGAAAATGAATTCCTTATCTCCATTTTTAAAGAATCATAAGGATTAAACTGGACCAAGTCACTCACAAACATATCATAAAAGTCCTTCGTGAGTGAATTGGTCGAATTTATACACAAATAAATTCCTTTAAAAAGGTGTTTAATCCTATAATACACTGCAGTTATCTCATAATTTATGATATTTTATTGGCAGGAATAACTGAGCATCTTGATTAACTTTGCAATGACATTTCATATATTTCAAGATATATAGCTGCAAAATTTGACCCCAAAAAAAAAAAATCAGGGGCAATAACTCTTTCAGCAATAATTTTAAAATCTCCTGAAATTTTCAACAGTGGTACCTCTTTACCTAGACTAGTGTCATTTTGAAGTGTACTTTTTTTCTGTAATGTACATATATACTTTTGGAAATGTAAGATAAACCATGTTCTAGGTTTAAAACAGCAACTTTGATTTTTTTCATTTTGATTGACGACCTGTGTATAAGGTACTCACAAATTATAATTTATATACCCAAAGAATCTTTCCTTCAAAGTTTGGTTACAACCAGTTCAGTGGCTTTGGATTTTTTTTTTAAATATTTAAGATGTCAGATGGTGACCAATGATGGCAAGTAATAGGCAATAGCCCACATGGACATTCTAGCCAAGTGAGCTTAAAAAGGTGAGCCAATATTATCAGATTGGTCACTTGGGCTCTTTCTGACAATAAGAGTATTTTAAAGTTATACTGTCTATATTACAAACCTTAAAATCTGCTTTCAGATATCGTTTTGCCTCTAACAACTTTGTTTTCAAGTTATTCTCATCCATAAATATTTCCTCCAATGTTTGAAATGCACGGGATCCTTCCATTACATAATTGTCAAGGCCCTCAACACTTTTTCGTACTGATGCAGCACATTCTGATAGAATTTTATAGAGTGTGCTCTTACCTGAAAATTATTAGGTGAATGGTATATGTAAATGATGTTTCACCTTAAAAGTAACATCGATTATAAAACATATATATATATATATAAATGATTCCGTTATGCAACATGTCTCATAAGTATACTTTTCAGGACCACCAATGGCCGTGCCAGTAAAAGCTAGCATTAGAATGGTTAAGATTTGTCATTATGTCATTATTTTTATGCCCTGCATACAAAAGTATGGGGGCATATTAGTTTAGGGTATGTCTGCCCTTTCCTCTGTCCGTCCAAAACTCATGTTTACATTGTACCTTTAGGTTAAAGTTTCTTTTCCATGAAGGATTCTTATCATGCTATCATGAAAAAACTCATGTAAGGATAATTGAAAATCAGCATAAAATTTCATCTACCTCATCAAAGTCATGCTCCATTAAACTAAGAAAGAGGATGTGTTTGATAAAAAGCGAGGCCCGCGGGCACCAGATATCTTTCGAACATAGTTTTGTTTTTGTTTGTTACATAAAATTTTAACCCTACCTAGTTGCTCATGCATTTAATGCAGACTGAGGTGATTCTTTTACAAAATGTGCCACATTTGGTCATTGGCTAAGAATTCCTGATATAAACTTCCATTCAGTGAATTGGACATAAACACAAAATTAAGCTGAAATGAATGCCAAATTGGTCATTTTTGAACCTACATGTACTTAATGTAAGTGCATAAAATAACTTTGATGTATTCTTTAAGGATGTTCACTTGTCATGTTTTGAGATTTTTGTCAGATTTTAGGAATCCTCTGGTTTTATCCATTTGAATGCCTTAAAAAATGTTGCCCATTGACCCCCATTTTTCTTTTTATAAATCTTTTATATGTATAATTATAAGCCATCTGTAAAAGTCTTATAAAATCTTTGTTATTTTTCAAAAGTTTTTGAGACCTTTAAATTGTCAATGATAATGCTATGAAAAATCAAGAGAGAACATTTTCCAGCAAACATTTCAATGGCTAATATCTCGAAAACAAGCACATTGACCTATATATTTTTTTTGCTTTTTTGGTTCCTTTATTAAACCCCTATCGATATATACTATTGTTATGAAAAGCTTGTTATTTTGAAACTTGAGTAGTGAACTTCCTTAATTTGATTTGTAGGCAAAAATTGTGTCAAACAAAAGTAATTTGCATTGATGCATTTTCATTGTGTTGATCATTGAAGACAAAAAAAAATAACCTTACCTAAAGGGCTAATATTGTCTTCTTCACATAGCTGCAAATATTGGCTGATGAGTGAGCTAGATGACAGACTTCTGATAACATTGGGTATATTGCTAATTTCACCTGAGTCCAGCTTAAGAGTTCTTTGACCATATGGCAGGTCTTTCATTATGTGACTTGATGTGATAAAGTCAATGAAATGATCGAGACTGTTGGCATTTATTTTCTCCCTTTTCTCAACTGTGACATTCACTGGTAGTCCAGGTCCTTCAATGTTTGCATGTCGTTTGGCCTCATAAAACCTCCAAGAAGTTAATCCAGGAATAAACTGTAAAATGAGAAATTAAACGTCTTACATTCTTAATAAAGTTTCTATTTTTCGACCACAAAACTTGATACCAAACACATCATCTTTGATATATATATATATATACATTGGCAGCTGACATATTCATATTTCTAGTACTAATGTAATTTTAATGTTTTCTTTTGACACAGTTAAGGGTTAGGGTTGGGGTGCCCTGTGCTAGATTTTTATATTTTGTGATTTCTGTCTTCGTTTCTTTTCATTATTTGAGTTCACTACATGTGTTTAAACAATTTCCAATGATAGTCTCCAGTTTCTGAGTTTTCTCAAACTCCTAAACAATTTTGGATGGACAAAAGGGGAATAACTCTCACCAACATAATTAGTCATCTCTGATTTTCAGTTTTGTCTATTAAAGATGTTGATTGCTGTGACCTTTAATAAGTTAATAATTATCAAATGAGAAATTCAAGAAGGTGAGTTCTTAGTTTTTAATTGACTTCACTAAATTACCTTCTGAGCTCCTTCAAAAGACATCTGTTGTACAATGATAGATAACACTTGTCTTTGGAATTGCCATGATTCTGCTTGGATATAGATTTTTTTAAGGATCTGTAGGGTATCGTCAGCAGGCTGCTCCTGTTCATTTCTTTCAAAAATAATGGATTCCAATAGCAAATCTTTTTCTTTTGGAGCAATGGTTTCCAAAACAGCAAACACACATTCTTTTGCTTTATCAATGTAGCGTCTTTTAGTTCTTTCACTTGCTACTGCTAATGGGTTTGATAAACTTTTAACATTACAGTTATGCAAGAAGGTATTGAGACTCTCTAATCTGGAAATGTTCATCACAGATGCATATGATTCTTGACTATCTGCTGTCTGCAAAGAACTCATAGTGCTACTCTGGCTTGATTCTTCAACATCCTAAAAAAATAAAGCATCATAATTTTAAATGATAAACGGTAAAGTCGAAATGTATTAAAATAAGTATATTACTGACCACAAATAAAACTTTATTTACCAAAATTTTGTGCATATCATGCATTTTTTTTTTCTTATATTTGTTCAACAATGTTTACTGTTAATTATTTTTATTCTAATATGGGGTGCTGCGTAAATCAATAGATATGGGTACGTTGTCTACTCTAACGTTTCATTTTGTTTCCTATTTGAAAACACCATGCTATTATAGTCTGTTAAATACATATGTGTTTCTATAACAGCTTACTAAATAAAGCTCATTAGATGAATGATCAAAATGATAATATGTTTGCTTACCATTTCCCAACCAAACCCTTGTTTATGTCGCCAACCCTACCTTTTTTCCTGTAGCCAAGATGCTAAAATTGGGGTAATAAAATGTTTTCAAAGCAAGTTGTCAGGGGAGATATAGTTGGGTGAAGGAAACTATCTAAAGTAAAAGAGGAAATAGGGATAGTTTTTATTTTTTAAGTACTGCATGAATACTTACATGTACACAAATTCTTTTAAACTGATCATTTCTGTCAAGGCAATCCACTGTCTTTAAAAATAAAACAAAGACATTTTTAATATATATGTCAAGAATTTCATTTGTAGCAAATACATGTATTTAAAATAGGACAATTGCAAAAGCTATAATTTTTAGAACCATTGATTCCTTTATAAAATTTTAATACATGAATTAGAAAATTTGTGTATGAGACACGTGACGTCCCACTCCTTATCAATAAATGTAATAGCTGCAAATGTAGGGCAGAGTGACCTACTTCTTAGTGAATTCTTGTGTACTCCTTAAATATCAGCTATCTACATCTAGATATGACCCTTAATCCAAAACCTAATTAAGTTGTTCATGCTGAAAATTACATCATAGTGAAACCTAGTTTAACTGTACTCTATCAATTGACCAAATATCAAGTCTGCCATGTATATAGTAGCTGTCTCAGATATACAGGCAATACCCATAAAAATGCCTTTTCAATTTTGGATAATATAAAACAGAAACAAAATACAAACCCTTTTCCTTCTCCCTGACAAAGAAACATCTTCCTGTTCCTCATGTCCTGTATATACACTGATCTCCTTAAATAAAAATGTAATGTTACATAGATTAAAATAATAACAGTTTCCTTGCACGCCATTAATTTTTGCTGAAATAATAACTAGTCTTTAAATATGGAAAGTTTTTCGAAATTTCCTGCCTTTTTTGGGGGAACGCTTGCAGAAATTGATAATTGAGCTGCTATATTGTATGCATTGAATGTTCTATGATGAATTGTAGATCATCTTGAAGTTCATTCCACTTCACTGTTTATTGCTGAAATAATGGTATTGCTGAAATAATGGCCCCTTGGATTTAAAAAAAAACCAGTTTCCTTTATATATTTCTACTAAATGGTTTCAGATAATCTGCTGATACTTAGTATGTAATTCTGCTATGAAGAGTTAAAGATCAAGTTATGATTTCATTCTGTATTGCTGATTTTTATTTGAAACTATAAAATGATGTAAGGAAGAACCAACCCCGCCTAAGTTTCAATTCTGGAAAATTATTGACTATTGACAACCTAGGGTCTTCAAATAATGTAGTGTTATCACTCAAATTTTACCTGCAAATGTGTCTGCTCTGCTTCAGTTACAGTTTCATGTTTGTCAACAACTGGACCATTATAATTTGTTGTAGCCTTGATGACTTCTTCACGACAAAGTCTACAAATTGCTGTAAATAAATAAAACACGATAAACACTTAAAATCACATTTATATACATGATATATAAACACTACATTAATATTCAATTGTGTTGGATATGAGAGAAAATGTTGGACATAAGTGTCATTTTTACAGCATGCATACAAACCCTCTGTTCTTTTACAGTACAATACAAAAAGGATGGACGGACAAACAGTGTGACTGGACTTCAATGGCTTTCTTTAATGATAGAAGGAATCCATGACAAATCGCCCCACACCTAATCGCCCCACTTTTTCAACAACTTGCCCCACCATCTAAAAAATTGTCCCACTCTTGGTTACCAACTCACCCCACTTATAAAAAAGGTTAAAATCTCATTGAAAATAGGTTGGATAACTTGTCCTTCTTATGAAAAAGGGTAAAATCCCATTGAAAATAGGTTGGATAACTTGTCCTACTTATGAAAAGGTTTAAAATCCCGTTGAAATAAGGTCTGCCGATTTGCCCCACTCATGACAGAACTACTGGGATAGATAAAACCACGATTAATTAAGAAAGCTAACTCATGACTCATGTGAGCATCACAGAAAAGCACAAGGATACACAGTAGACATTGTAAATGCATGACAAATATAACAAGAGGCTCTCAAGAGCCTGAATCGCTCACCTGTATTTCAGAGGAGAAGATTTTTAAATGTTAGCAAACTTGATGAACAAATTGTGTAAAATTGCCTTTAAAGGGCAATAACTCCTTAAGGGGTCAATTGACAATTATGGTCATATTAACTTTTTT